GGTCCTCTGACAGTCACGTCCCTCCTACATGTAAAACCACCATCCGTCCAAATGCGACAGCCTGCTCCCTGGTCCTCTGACAGTCACGTCCCTCCCACATGTAAAACATACACACCCCGTCTCAACACGCCCCATCAGCAACCCTAAGTATAAAACCTTCTCTAAATACAGGCTCAGTCTCCAATCACACTGCCCAACGCAGCTGTGGCTGAGACTGGGGATGGCCCATCTGGGGCACAATTCCTCTCCACACACGAGGAAAGTGACACCCAAAAACCAGGTGGCCTGCTCCCAACGGACGATGGTGGTGCAGATGTAGGAGAGGTGTCCCCACGCTGTGAGAAGGAGAACGGAAGGATAAGGGGCTCACTGGTCCAAGGCCTGTAACCCAGCAGGGCAACTCATGAATTGGATCGCTCTGCCGCCATGCCTCCTCTTCCTGGAGGGCAGCACTCGTTCACAGCCAAGCAGACGTCTGGAGTCCAACCACCTTCCTGTGTTTTGTCTCATCTGCATCTTCCAGGCCAGGCTGGCAGCTGCTGCCGTGACAGCCTCAAAACCCTGCCGCCTTCCCATGCAGCTCACAGGGGCCGAAGCCATCAGAAGAGCAGGCGCACCTCCCGTGTGTCTCCCGTCTCAGAGCCTTCCACCTGCTCAGGTATTGGTTGCAGCAGCACTTCACTGTGCACGAACCACTTACCACAGGCTGGGTGGTTTAAAAACAGAAACACTGTAGTCACAATACCAGACGTGAAACACCCACCAACCAAGGTGTCTGCAAGGCCACGCTCTCTGCAGGCCTTCGGGGAGAATGCCCACTTGCTTCTGCCTACTTTCTGGTTGTTCCTGGCACCCCGGCACTCCTTGGCTTGTAGCTGCATCACTCTTCCTCTCCATCTTCATGGGACTGTCGTCTCAACATGCTTATGACTGTGGTACAAAACCCCTCTCCTTTCGCTTACAAAGTCACCAGCCACTGGGTTTAAATGCAGGAAGATTTCATCTCGAGCTTCTTAACTGATCACATCTGTAAACACCCTGCTGCCCAGAAGGTCACATTCTGAAGGTCTAGATACTCAGTCATTGGAGGGAGTGCTCTTCAACCCGCGACACTTTGCTGAGGGCTGATGGCTGCGCAGGAGAGTGGTGAGGTCTGAGGTCTGACAGGACTGAGACGTCATACTACCTGCATGGCACTCCCAGGGAAACAACAAAGGGGTTTTGATCCAAGCCCACCTCAGTGTTGCTTGGAGGACAAACCATAAGACAATAGGCACTCAGAAAAGAGTCCGTGAAAAGTACCAAGAATAGTGCCTGGCACATGGTCCACGCTCAGTAAAGGCCACTGTCACCACAAGGGGTCATTATTAAGGGTCATGCTAGGTTAACATCCCTTCACAGTGTCCAGGCTGCCTTGGTTTCTCTAGCGGGTGTGTTCCTCCTTCTGTGAGTTTTGCTGTGCGGAGGTCTGTACTACAATCACAGGAAGCCTGGAGACTTGACAGCACTGGCAAGGCCCCAGGAACCTGGTAGGATCGCTGCTGCGAGTACCCCGCTAAGCAGCTGACAAGTAACCAAGCAGCTAGGGTCCCCACGGGGAGGTCATCGTAGAGGACAAAGCATGCTTCACAAGCCATCCTGCAGGGAGTTGACTTCCAGCCTGTCCCCAAAATGCTGGCTCTGCCAGCGGTGAGGTCACAGGAGGGAGAGGACCAGAGCAGCTGTGCAGGCCTCTCTCAGGAACGCCCCCTCACCCCTCTGCCCTGTCCTTTGCACAGACAGCTCCCCTATTTCCACCTACGAGCTGCTCTCAGAAGGGCCCAAGACACAGCACAGCATCGGGTCAAAGGCTAAGAGCGCCTGGCTTTAGGCTATCTCATTGATTACCTCGAGATGGCCTCTGACCAAAGGTCTACGTGCAGCGGCCAGGCCTCTCACATCTCAGTGGACTAAGAACCAGGATTGTGTGGCTGCTGAGACTCGTCCCTGTTGTTAGGTTCCACGTAATCGGCTCCGAGTCAGCAACCCTACGTAAAGTGCCCTTGTCCTGCTCCATCCTCACATCCATCGCTGGGCTTGAACCCCCAGCTGCAGCCTCAGTGCCTCTAGTCTGCCTCTCTCAGGGTCTCCCTCCTTAAAGCCGCAAATCCACTGTCCTGACGTGGACCCTGACTCAGCGACTGTATGTCGAGGTTCCAAGACGGTAAATCCTTACAGGAGCAGACAGCCTCATCTTTCTCCCAAGCAGTGGCTGGTTGGTTTGAATCCCACCCATGCAGTCAGTAGCCCAAGGCCAATCCCACAGCACCTTTAGACTGCAGGGGGGCGCAAACCCCAAGACCAATCTTTCACATAGCTCCTTCCTCAAACTCTTTTCCTGAGCTGTGGGTTAATGCACCAGACTGCAAAGCCATTTGAACTGCAAGGTCGGCGGTTCAAGCTCACCAGCTGCTCCTCTGAAACCCTATACAGGATGACTATGGGTCGGAACCGACTTGTCGGCACTTCACAACAACAATATTCTACAGCATTTGTCCAGTCACCGGGAGGAACTTCTAGTCACCACTCCGAAACTGTCCCCTCCTCCTGGACATGCCACAGATTTTAATGAAAGGCCTTACTATTTCTCCATCAAGCACGATCCCGGTCACCTTCAGCGACCCCCTTCATCCAGTCATTATGTCTGCCAACGTGCAAATCCCTCTTTTCAGACGGGATCCACTGACTCCTAAAGTTCACAGTTCTGCCATTTAAATGCCACTGTTCATCATGAACACGAGGGTCAAACCTCTCGGCTTCTGAACGAGACTACATGGGAGTTGACTTTAATGTCACAGTTCATCCGTGTCACTGGGAAGACTCATCTCTGGACACAACAGACTCTGTTGCACATTCTTGCCACCGGCCTGTCTCGAATCTTCTGATTTTATGCGAGGTTTGAGCAAGTCTCCTTCCCCAGGGCCCTGGCTGGGGCGCCAATGCCAAGCCACCAACGCCGACCGGCGAGGACTGTGGAACCCTCCAGCTGAGACCAGGGCGTGGGACGCCCCCCAGCCAGCTGCCCACCCAAACTGCCCAGCATGACTTGGGCCAGTCCCTTCCGGCGTCCCCGGAGCCTGCCAGTGACCCCTCCACCCTCCACCGCTCGCTGTCACCTCCCAGACCCTATGACCGACCCCCGCTGCCCCCCGAAACGGTGTCCCCACGCCCAGGTTAGCGCTTCCCAGACCTCCACGGCACCCGCAGCCCCGCAGGGCGCCGCCCCCACCTGTGACCTCTGACCCCTGACCCGACCCCGCGCGCCCCGTCACACCCACCTGCCCGGGACTTTGCTGTTGCTGCGCTTCCAGAACTGTTTCCTGGCCCCGTCGCTGGCCATGGCCCCTCCTCATCCCTCAGCCTCGCGGCCCGACACCGCAGCGTGGCCGGCTGGCCCCCAGTGACCCGCTCCAATCTCCTGGGTGGTCCTCCAGAGGTCCCGAGAGTCCAGAGCGCAGAGCCCACAGGCTCTTCCGCCTCTCTCCGGAAGTTGTGGCTCCTCACGGCCGGAAGTCCCGCCTCGGTCCCAGGCGGCGTGTGACGCGTGGCACCGGACGCCTGACGGCATTAAAGCGCGACGCCGACGGCGCGCTGGGCGGTCACGGACCGAGACGCTTTGTTGGTGTTTCGTGGAGGTCACACGCCCCAGATCACTGAGCCAAGCCAGAGCTCCGCGGTTCTTAGAGTTGAGGCCCGTGTGGGACGCTGGGATGCCCCCTGGACTGCCTTCTAGGAACCGAAGAGCCTGGTCGCTCGGTGGGTAAGGGCTGGGATGCTAACCGCAAAGTTGTCGCAGCCGTTCCGCGGAAAAAAGATGTGGCTGTCTGCTTCCCTAAAGATGTATAGCCTTGGAAACCCTATGGGGCAGATCTAGGTTGTCCTATAGAGTCTCTAAGAGTTAGAAGCGACTGGACGGCAGTGGTGGATTTTCCTCGGAACTGGCTTTAGGCCAGAAGAAAGCAGGACAGCGCTACAGATACGAGAGGACAAATGGAGGCCAGGGGGCGTGTTGTTCATGGCTGTATGTAGGTCGATAAATAGGAAATTAATGAGATATTTACAATGTATTGAGGTAAGAGACAGCTACCAAGGGCCATAGAGTGTATTTGACAGGATGGAGGAAGAATGGGGGTCAGACCAGACTTCAACTCCCGGATAGTTGAGCACAGACTAGAAGATGCTCCCCTGCCCGGTGCTCTGCAGTAGGACCCTGGGTTACACAAAAGGTCTGCACCCCATTACTGATATAAGAACCCACCTAGTGGTAACGCAGAAGAAAAGCTTGGTGATCTGTGTCTGCAAAGATTACAGCCAAGAAAACTGGAGCGGTCTGCTCTGTAACACATGGGTCACCATGAGTTGGAAATGACTTAAAAGCAATGCGTTTTATCACTTGGGTGTTGGGGGTTTTTTTGGTTTTGTGATTTGGGGGAAGAGGGGGGCCTTGGTGGTCCTGTGGGTTAGACGTTGGACTGCTAACTGGAAGATTGGTGGGTTAAAACCACCAGCTGTTCCTCAGAGTAAGAGGAAGCAGTGTACTTTCCAAAAGATTTGCCATCTCAAACTCTCCGAAGCATTCTACTCTGTCCTTTAGGGTTGCTGTGAGCCAAAAAGGACTGGGTAACTGTGAGTTTCATTTTCGTTTTACAGCATGGGAGCCACTGGCCAGTTGTATCAGAAGAATCCTTGAGGTGGCTAGACTGACTTAAGATGGGCTGTATGTGTAAGATGCACACAGTTTCCAAGACTTAGTATGAAAGAAAGAATTTTAAAACCTCAAGAAATTTTAGACTGGTTACATGTTGAAACAATGTTTCAGATTTATTTGGGGATCAATAAAATGTTATTAAAAATATATTTTTCCCTTTTTAAAAAAAATGCTATTACTAGAAAACTTGTGAATCTTGGTGTGGTATTGAAGGATAAGCATTGGGCTGCTAACTGCAAGGTCAGCTGTTCAAACCCATCAGCCGCTCCTTGGAAACCCTTTGCAGGGTCACTATGAGTTGGAATCAACTCAGTGACACTTAGCAGCAGTAACAACACCAAGTAGACAACTTGAGCTCACGTAATGTTTGGCGTTGTGTTTTGATTGGAAGATGGAGGGACCAGGGACAGGTGTTTCAGTGTAGCTTTATGGGAGCTCCCTGGCACACCACTGCCAGGTCTCTGTTCACACAAATGTGATTATCATTTCAGAAGACATTTTCCCAGTGCCTCTCCCTTTACTGATGTTACTCAACATTGTTTTAGTTGTTGCTAAAGTGGTAAAGTGGTCAGCGCTCACCTGCTGACCGCAAGATCAGCTGTCCAGCCCCACCAGCTGTTCCGTGGGAGAAAGATGAGGTGATCAGCCTTCGTAAAGAAAGCAACTTTGGACAAAGGTCTCGGGCTGTTTTGCTCTATCTTATAGGGTCACTAGAAGTTAGAATCTATTCAACAGCAATGCAGTATCTTTTGTTTGGGGCTTTTTTTTAAATTTTTTTTAACTAGCAAGGTATTAAGGAGCTCTGGTAGCATAGTGATTACCAGTCGGGCTGTTAACCTCAAGGTCAGCAGTTAGAAATTACCAGCCATTCCATGGGAGAAAGATGAGGCTTTCTGCTCCCATAAAGATTTAAAGCCTCGGAAACCCTGTACAGGGTCACTATGAGTCGGAACCAACATAACCCCCACCACTAGCAAGATATTAAAGAAGCCCTCATGGCTCAGTGGTTAAGCATCCAGCTGCCAACTAAAAGACCAGTGGTCTAAACCCCCGAGCTACTCTGTGGGAAGAAGGTGTGGCAGTGTGCTTCTGTAAAGATGACAGCCTTGGACAGTTCTGGGACAGTTCTTTTATGAATCCAAATGGGCCAGATGCTGCTCTAGCCACGCTGTATGCACTGTGTCAATCCCACACCCTCTCCTCCGGAAAGACTCTGCCCACCTGTCAGCAGCTCTCAGTTCTCAAAACGCCTCGTCTGAGCCAGGCCTTGCACAGCTGATCACACACGCTATAACATGTATCCAGCCGTGTCCAGTCACTTCCACATCCTCATGCCCCCCACACTCGCTCTCAATAGAGCTTGTTACATGGACCGCCCGCTGCACAGAAGGCTCCCAGGACCCCTGCAGTCCCAGTCACGGGAACTCCAGGATCACAGGGGATTGATTCGTGGTGGTGATATCTACGGCGCCTGCCCTGCAGTCTTCCCAAACCCTCAGAGGACCCCCAGGAAGCCTCTCTTAGTGGAGCTCAGGGAGGCCACAGAGAGCCCTGGGGACTCCCGGGACCGTCTCCCTTACATCAGTGTGAGGTCTCTGGAGTATTACCACCGTCAGTGAAACATGGCAGTGCACAGAGAGGACAAGCAATGAAAGGATTTGCAGAGGAAGATCTGACTAATGACTCTCACCTTGGATGTGGCTGTTCCCCTGTGATTTACGGTGCACCTTCTACCTGCCCTCCCAGGGGAGTGGGGCCTGAGACTCGGACTAACGGGCCAAAAACAATTCAGCTGCACCTGCAGTTTTTACAAATGGAAAGTTTGGGACAACCCAGTGTTGAGTAAGTCTATCAGCACCGTTTTTCCAACCGCCTGTACTCAGTTAGTGTCTCTGTATCACGTGCTGGTCACTGTCATCATACTATTACACACTTAGTAAGCTGTGTTGTTGTTACGTGCCTGACTCTGACTCATAGCAGCCATGCTTAGGGTTTCCGAGGGGCTTGAACCGCTGACATTGCGGTTAGCAGTTCAGTGCTTATCCCACAGCACCACACCAGGACTCCATAGTAGGCTATGTTGTTGTTAAGTGCCAGCAAGTCAATTGGATTGGCAAAGTGGCAGCATCAATGAGCTCATGTGTGGCAACCATTGTGAGGTTGGCCCAGGACCGGGCAGTGTTTCATTCTGTTGTTCATAGGGTCACTATGAGTCCGTACTGACTCGATGGCACCAAACAACAACAAAGATAAAAGTCACATCTTACTAATATTTAACATGTGAGAGAATGAAAGTGTATGTGTGGAATTTATAAATAAACCTGCATATATTTGGGTTTGTGTCCAAATTGTTTTTCACTAATTGTTGTTAGGGGCCATCAAGTTGGTTCCAACTCATAGCAACCCTATATGCAACAGAATGAAACACTGCCCAGTCCTGGGCCAACCTCAGTATTGTTAAACTTGAGCCCATAGATGCTGCCACTATGCCATTCCATCTTGCTGGGGGTCTTCCTCTTCTTCTCTGACCCTCCACCTTACCAAACATGATATCCTTCTCCAGCGACTGGCCCTTCCTGACAATATGTCCAAAGTATGAGAGACGAAGTTTGGCCATCCTGGCCTCCAAGGAGCACTCTGGTTGCACTTCTTCCAACACAGAGCTGCTGGTTCTTTGAACAGCCCATGGCACAAAGACCTGTAGTATAAACTATCTTTGGGCTACAGCTGTTGTTTAGCACCATCCAGTTCCAACTCATAGCCACCCTGTATAGAGTTTCCAAGGAGCGGCTGGTGGGTTTGAACCACTGACCTTGCAGCTAGCAGTCCAGTTGACACTTCTTTGCTGCTAAACTGCCAGATGTCTGCCCCACCTCCCTGCCTGTCTCTGCCTGCTGCTCCATCCTTGCCAGAAGTTCCCAACACACAGAAAGGCACACACTTGGACCTGAAGTGGCAAGCCAGTGTTCCCAGAGCTGTTGCCGTAACTGACATTTATTAGGAAGCTAGAGCTGGGGTTTAGGACACAGGTGGTCAGACCCTTGGGTCTTTGTGAATCTCCACAGGTCATCAGTCTTCCCCTCCCTGTGCCTGTCGGCCTCTCAGTCCCTAATGTGCACCTTTCAGATCTCACCAGTCACTGGGAAAGACACACCCTGCACAAGGATATATTTGCTGGATCGAATTTAAGGTCACAGGGTTTCTTTGGAGCCCAAAGTGCTTTTTGCAAAGATAGAGGCAGAGACTGGAGTGAGGCAGCCACCAAAACGTGGGAGAGACCAAGATGGGGAGGGTAGCCTGGGCCAATCCCAGCCCTTCTGGGTCTCACCTGCCCTGTCTGAAAAATGGGGTAATGATTCCTGCCCTGTCCACCTCAGGGCTCATCTGGAGATCAAGGGAGAAGGCAGTGGGCATGGGAGGACCAGTGGACTCTGTGACGTCAGCTGTCCATGACAGAGGGCCACCTTCCAGGCTAAGTCTGGCTGCACGCACCCCACATCCTGGCAGCAGCTTCTGGGCTCCCTGCCAAGGCCAAGGGCATGTGAGGTGACCAAGTGTGTGCTGCACCCTCCCAGCCCTGCCCTGTTCCTCCTTCACTACTGCCAACCGCTGACCCCAGACGCTCGGCCGGC